CAAGCAGATACACCGCTTGATTATCCCACCAACGGACGGCCTTGATCGATGGCACCTTTTGGAGGGTGGCTACGTCATACGTTCCTTTGACGATCTGTGCTGGTCGCTTCTTTGATTCCTTCCTGCCGTTTTTAGTCTTCTTTGGTAGAATTGCTTTGCACAGCCCCTTTCTGTTCGTCATTTTTGTGCCCAAGCTGTAGAAGTTCATGGTCAGCAGCTGCATAGCCAGCACGACAGAGGTGTAAAACTTGTCGGTGACTATGAGACGTCGCTCAGTTGGTCCGTTGACGCCAAAGACTTGACGTAAGTTCCGTACGACTGCGGCAGGTCCCGATTTTTCATCACTGGGTGTGCTACTGTCTTGCATTTGTTGCTTTCCACAATAGACTTCAAACCTGTAATATACACAATAGTTCAAAAGATTTTAGCACGCCGAAGACACGATAAGGTAGCTTTGAAACCAAAAACAAAAAGAGCGTGCCCGAAGGCACGCTCTTTTCCTTACCTGATGCAGTATGCAGACTTGGAACAGCACAGCATAAAAAGCTTTGTGCCCCAGCGATGGGGGGTGTCCTTCATGAAGATTCTCATCTTGTTGAACGGAGACGTACACGGAAGCATCGCTTCGTCAAACGCCATTATTGGAGGTGGGATGAAACTTGCCTGAAATTTTTCTTGCAGCACGTCAATCACCGGGCGGAGTTTTCAAGCTCGATCGGTATGCGCTCTTGCGTCAGCATTGCTGCTAAAATGGAGATTCCGCGAGATATGATAGAAGCGATCTCTAGTCATAAATGCGTTAAAACAGCCACGAGGAATAGCACCTTCATCTGTAGTCTTCCCATGGTCATCAAACCTCTCTTTGTTGGGAGCTATCGTTCTTGCAATAAGTATTCCAAGAAAAATAGCAATTTCTCGTCCTGAAATGTCCTTCGTGTTCAGCAGCTTAGTCTTTATGATATCCGGAGGTGAGACATGGAAATCAAGCCTTTTCAGCTTCCTATCTAGCTGCTTGGCGTGTAGACTCTCCACTCGCGCGTCTAGGTTCTCCATAAAGTAGTCGTTACTAGCACCCGCAATTCTTTCTAGTAAGTACGGCGGGACGAACTGAAAAAATGCACCAATTGGGGTCTCGGCAGCGCTCAACGCTGCAGCAGTTGGTCCATGTTCACCGCGAAATAGATCCGGATATTCAATATTTGCCCAATCATCGCGACGCATGTCGTAGGGTTCATCCATGTATGGGTAAGGCGTCTGATTGTGTACTGGAGACCACCCGTTCTCCTTCATGTCGGCTAAAACATCAGCCTTGAGGTTGCCACGTGCAATCTCGTGAACACCACCTACTGCTTCAAGTAGAGACGCATCAAATGGAAGCTCAGGTGGGACGACATCTTCATCTTCAATGCTGGGATCAGGCTCAGCGAGCTCCAGCTCCTCATCATCGTCGTACACAGAGAATCCTCCCCCCTCCTCGTCCGAATCAAGACTTGCAAAGACATACTTGTCATCGCCGGGCGTTGCAATGTTAGGATCGTCTGTTAAAAATATACATGATAGTTGTTATTATCATGAATGTGTATCATGTATACATAGGAATTGTATATCGTGTACATACACGTTTGAACCTACCAGATAAAGACGAACAGAAAAACGCAGCGTTCGATGCCGCGTCCACGCGATCGCCGTCTGCGGACTGTTGCACATTTGTGGGGCTTTGCGGAGAGTCGTTAGAGTCATCTGACTCATCAGAAGACCCAAACAGTTCATACAGATTGCGCCTTGAAGTGGTTGGCACAGCTGGAAAAATACAACGTTGAAAAGAGTTAGCTACAACACCTTCGAATTGTATGGATGGCACAGTAAACGTACCGGGTGTGTCTGGACTTGACGAAAAAAAAGCATCGATATCGTCGTCAGCTTCGTGCGGCGAAGTAGTAATTAGAGGTGCACTGGAGTAAGATTGCATTGGAGAGCTGGGGTGCGTCTGTTGTCGTACTGGGGTGGTTGAGAGTGGCTTTTCACGCACTGTACTAACTGCATAATACACGATAGTGTTAGACAGGTACGGTGTAATGTACAGGCGTTGTAAAATATACCTGTTGGAGGTGTAGTAGCGTCATCAGGTGGAGTGGCTCCATCGTCTTGCCTCGAGAATGCGTGTGTGGCGTCGTCGGTCTGTCGTTCATCTTCCTTTTGCCTCGCAAGCTCATCTATACACGCGTCAACGGTTAGGCTCAGGTTTTCAATACATCATTAGAATAAACAACTTACCGAGGTCTAGTCGATCCAAATACGACATCAGCTCCTTCTCCCCTACAAAGAAGTCTATTCCGCGCACGTCTGTCTTGCTTTTACCGGGCTTCAGATAGGTGTGGTCATTTGAGAGGCCTGTAGGAGGCTTGGAAGACCAGCCTTCCTGCCGTAGTTCCTTCCACCGGGCCCGAAACCCCGACATCTGACTGGGAGCGGGAGTTTTCTGAAATGAGCGCCAAAATGAGTGGCGTTGAAAATCCCTGCAGTTTTTTATATTGATTTGGCGTGAACCACATATCGCTGAGTTGCCTCTAAACTTTTTTTTTATGAAAAATTGTGCAATGCACCGCCTGCGCACACCGCACCAGGAAGGATGGGGATCAGGCTTCACATACCTATCCCTCTTTGGCTTAGCGTGAAAAACAAGCAGATCATTCATGCACCATTTATCGTGTATTATACAGGATAAGCCCTCCCTACGAAACGTGTATAATACAGGCCGTCGCTTTGGGGGGGTTAATACATGTAACAGGAAAAGCTTCAAATTCTCTAAACGTTTACGTATTCGATCTGCGTTTTTCAGATTTTAGCTTAGAGAAAATCTACACATTCTGCTTTAGACTGCAGACATACTACAGTCGAACTACAGACTGTAGTACCGTATGCAGCACCAGCGGATTAGTGAAACCGAGGTTAACATCATTTTGTAATACATGTTTCTAGCTACCGAGGTAGTGAGGTCCCAGCAGAAAAAGTGATTAAACTATGCTCACAGCTCTTTTCGTTAGTTTTCTTAGTTTTGAGAATCAAACATGATTGGGGCCCAAATTACTCGAGATCGACGCCTTAAACAAAACCCAAACTCACAAACCAAAGCAAATAACAAAATGATGATCCAGTCAAGTACTTCGCTTGTTTCATCTCCGTATTTAGCCCACTCGTGTTGTCATTTCCTTCTCCAGCTCAGCCAACAAGGATGGATCTACTGACTACTCGACGCCGAGGAACTACCGAGGTGAGAGAGGCAATGGATAGACTCTGTCGCGTATTTGAGACGGCTGATTGTAACGCACTTGGAGCCAAAATTAACAGTGACGATGACACGGGGGGGGGCACCGCGGTTTTAGTGGAGGGGTGAATTCCTTTAAGAACATGAAACCGATTTACAAAGCTGGATAAATTGCCCGAAAGTGTTCGACTCCAATATTTGACGTGGGATAATGGGCGTCGAGTTTCCTACTTCAGTAATCTACGCAAGCACTGTTAGCTGCATCACACCCGCCTTTAATGGTGTGAGTGCATGCAGTGCTGGTTGTGCGGATCTGACGGGCCCCAGTACAAACGGTGAGCTCGTGACATATGCGCCAGATTACTCAAGCCGTGCCATTCACCAAATGGTATTGCTCTCGACGATTGGTGGACCGTGATCGTCGAAAGGCTGTACTGGCGACACTGAGAATCTATCGTGCAAAGCTGTACATGTATCGCCATCCAGTACATCTTTATTTTGAAGCTATCAAGGGGGCTCATCAGTTGGTCTTACGAATTCTACGACGTGAGAAGCAATCTCCCCATTTTCCCAACGTAGCCGTTCGCCATTATTTTGGCTTCAGAACTGTTCAGCAGCGCATGCCGTGCTGCTTAATTCCAGACATGTCTTCACGCTACTCGACAACGAGCCTTTGATCCAAGGTTGCGAAGATCAAGTCACGGTTGACGTCCTCGCGTTAGCGAATCTATTGCGTGAGCAGAAGTTTCTCCTTGTGACGCCTACTCGAGAAAAAAAATCAGCATCAGCTATTCAAAAACTAGACAAAGAAATACACAATTTCTTGCGAGCAAATATACTGCGGTGCACAGTGCTAACTGCGTCAGTAAAACTCTTAGAGCCCATAGGCTTTGTATTTTTGTATGAATGAATGTTAGCAAAGTAGCTGCACAGTGAAAATATCAAGCTCAGAAACACACAAGAAAAAAGCTGTTTTTCGCTTAAACGGTCTCATGACCATTACCTGAGCGCTGGAGGTCACTCAACAAGATAGTTATTCAAAGGAAGGCTGCTATTAATACTTGCCGCTAGAGCCTCTTGACAACATTGAGGTTCGCATATGCACCTATCACAGCGTGATTATTATAGAGCAAAAGACATACTCTCAGTACTTGAAGTTTTTGGTGTTCGCGTGATTCACGCCGTGAAGCTGTCGAGATACATGGAGTTTAACTACCGTGTACGTTGTACATTCTGCGAGCGCGTGAGTAAGAAGTAAAGAGGCGGCGGGGGTAACGAGAACGATACGATATCGTTTTCTCGGTAAATCTTACGGCTAAGGAATCGATTGACAGTATGGCGCGATGCAGCTCATTCAAGACCAAATACTGGGCTAAAGTGAACCCCACAAATACTACATGAGCGATTTGGTAACCGCTGTATTTGCTCAATGCGGTATACGTGCAATGCATGGACGAGCGTTGTTACACAAAATTAAGATCGATTTCTAGTCACTTCTTCAGCTGTGGTGACCTACCGCCAAACAAGAACGGAGAACCGCACTGCTAACAGTGTTGCTTTTGCTGTGATTTTGGTTGTGACGAAGGGTGGGTGTTGAAGGAAAGAACATTGAATTATATGTGATAACTAAATCATTGATCAGAACAATTGGCACGGCTCTTGAAATCGCAATGCAGTTAGCGAAAGGCTCCAATTGCAATTGTTCAATGCCCTCAAGTCCTTGTTTCAGCTTGTGCTATAACTTGTGGTACCACAACCGAAACCTACCGTACTCCCTCCAGGGAATAATAGGAGCATCCCTTAGTGCACCAGCGGCATGAACCCTTCTTGCACTAGCCTTTTCGACTGATTTACGCTTGACACGCAGACTCATTTCTCCCACGTACGGAATTTCTTCTGCTGTGAAGGTACTCGACCCTGTAGTCACCAGGATGTCGCCTCTGACAGAAAGTTGACCATTTCGCTGAAGCTCAATACAAGAACGTACATGGTAGGAGGGAGATCCTTCTTCTAGCGACCAGTTGAACATCTCGAGGAAAAGAATCAGTTGACCTGGTGCCTCGACGCGCATTTCACCAAAATAATCTCCGTGAGAACCCATTTCGGCACAGGTCGACATCCCATTCGGAAGCATCCGAAACACGCGTTCCTTGCCGTCTAGTACCAAGTGCATACAGTCAAGACAACCAGCCACACTTTGCGGTGTTCGTACTCGAAGAGACCTCCCTCAGACGTCAATCGCTACCTCAACTCGGACAATCTGCGTCATCATCTCGACCATCGAAAAGAGTGACACGTCGGGCACCCTGGGGTCAGCATCCATCTTGCGACCGAGAGAGGAGCTAGCTTCGTTGATATCCCACTGCACGTCATCCGTGTCCAAGAGCCATTCTCCATTCCAGTTGCGCTCGACAGGATTGTGAGAAGGGAACGCCATCTTGAAAGTGGCCTTTCGATCGAGAGACTGTGGTGAGCTTGTAGTATCAATGTAAATATCTCGCAGCTGAGCAACGAACATGTTCCACCCAGCGAAGCTTTGGCCGCTTAAGATCTGCCGCACTAGAGGCCGACGACTGTGGAAACATTCATGCGAATACACCGCTGCAATCACCTGCTCTGCCACGTTGGCCAAGCTGTGCAGGGTGAAGGCTGCAAACACCTCTGCGTTCAAATGGTCCTCTAGTTCAAGTAGAAACTGAATAAAACACGACCGGATCGCCTTCTTGTCCAATATCAGAGCGGCATTCAAGCGGAAAAACTCTCGAAACCAGCCAAGTGTTTCATGAGAGAGCAACCATAGCACCGTCTGGGAAGCTACTCGAAGGAGAGTCTCCAGCTCCAGTGGGAGAGGACCACTCCCAGCAGCTCTTACACTCTCCTCTACCTGGGCATGCTGGAATATTAGCCGTTAGAAGCAGTCCAGATTGTCTTTCTTTGGGGTCGTCTTGGATGTGTCAAGCAGTTTGAGCTTGATCGAGCTCACTACTTCGTCCACTTGCGACGCATAAAGTCTGACAGGTGTCCAGCGGACGAACGCGAGAAGCAGAGCCATATTCTTGGATACCGCTACGGCGGGTGCATTGACGTGCTCCCAGATTAATTTATCTTGCAGAGGGTGGATCATTCCCTGGTCGCTTGACCTTGTCGGAGGAATCCGACGTTGACGCTTGGCTTCATTTAGAGGATTCTCTTCAAGCAAACTACCTAGGCGAGAGGAAGACCTCCCACTCCCTTGTGAGACGTCACGTGCGTGAGCGATTGGCACGACGCTCGCGTTATGCGCCGGTGAGTAGACACTTTGAGGAAGCATCTGACGTGACACGCCCGTTGCACGTTGAGTGCTGGGAGACGCACCTCCAGTTTGAAGTCCTAGTGGTTCTCCCTTCACTTGTTGCAGACTCTGTTGTGTAGCCAACTGCGAAGCGGCATGTGCTTGTGCAGCTTGTAGTTGGTCCAGAGGAGCTCGTCGGTACGAGATGACTGTAAACTCAGGCGACGAGACCGCATGCAGCACGCGGTACAGCTGCGTGTAGGCCTCTCGACTTGAAATGGTCGTAAGATTGTCGTCCATGTCCACGGCGATGCACTCCATCACATACGTTTTCAGTGAATGCTTTATGAGCCTCTGTGCCTTGTTAGCACCACTCTTACAGTAGTAGTACCACCTCGGAAAAGCTTTACTGTTCAAGTGGAATACTACAGGTTTCTCCTCATCTAACGCAGTATCTGAGCCTCGGATCGTGACCACCAGTCCGGATGGCCGATCCAAGACCCCAGCGATCCACTGACCGTCCAGATTCGTCTCTGTCTGTACACCCTCTTGGAGTTAATCTACCTCGACGCACTCTCCAGGTCGGAGACTCACATCATTGACTACTTCGAAGCGGGCGAAGACTGCTAACAACTCACTAGGTGGAGGCTGAAATGGGGCACTTCCAACCGGACGTTCCGCTAGTCGAATCTTCACACTCAGTGAGGATCCGCAGTAGCTTCGGTCAATATGCTCCGGACAGCAGTGCGGAAAGCAGCGCAGGATCTTAAGGCCTCTGGTGCGGTTGCTCCTAGTTAAAGTAAAACAAAATGGTCAGTCGCTACGAGTATCACCTCATGCGAGTCATTCTCTCATGCGTATGCAGAAAGTGAAAATGGACAGCGCAACGCGATTACGATGCCGTACCGCTTGTACTCGGAATGAAACAGTTGTTCGTGACCGCACTCGAGGCGGAAGTAGCTGCAGGTGGATACGCGTAGCGGCAGCGATGGCGCTGACATGTCAGTAAGGTGTTTGGCTGATGGTCTCTCGGTGTCTTTCTGGAAAGTGGAGAAGGTCGACGAAGGGTCCCTTGAGGTTGCAGGATTGGAGCTCGTTGCTCAAACGGGGGAGGTGGACGCAGAAACACGAACATAGACTGTACGCGTATTTATCACTGCTTAGGAATAAAACTATTTTTAAGACTCTCTATGCCGCCGACTAGCAAGATTGGGACTAGCGCAGGCATAATTGGCTACGCGATAATTCGTTGTATATTTAAGAATCTACAGTGACATCCAGCTATATACTGCCCTCAAAATTGTGAGCAGTATGAATGTCATTTCTTCACATTTTATGTGAAATGCCTCGGAAGCAAAGCTCACTTACCCGCTGCATTTTATACAGCTACGACACGGCAATACTTCAGTTGTTTGGAAGCAAGCAATCCATCCTATACGATTGAAGTGTTCGGGGCTGTAATGGAATGAATGTATCTGGTGGCACGACAGACACGCAATAAAACACCGAATGATGTTACGAGATGACGGCGTGGCTGATGAAAAGATATGCAATTGATTGTCAAGCTTTCGAGAACCCGAGTACGACGATGCAAGACTCATTTCAACAAGATTAATTTTGCTGGAACTAACCGAAGGCGAAATTTCTTCGCACTTTGCTGGCGAGGCGCAGTGGCTTTAACAATAATGCGTCGGCCGTTAATATCCGTTAATATCATCTCTCGTTAAAAAACGAGCATCGCTGATTTAAAAGAGTTTGGCGGTGTAAGCGAGTCGCATGACGAATGCTAAGATTTTATTAATTTTTATTTAGCAAAAGTGTCGACATGGACACTGTCACTTTACACATGGGCTTGACAACTATATGCGAAGCTGACGATTTCGGCAAAACCATTTCAGCCGGAGCTACTACATTTTACTCAGCGTCATTGTCTAATTTTATGCAAAGAAGCAAATGGTCGATACAGCTACCGCATATTACAACGAACATGTAACTTCGTAAGGGACGGTTAATTTGGTAATGCTATTTTGCAGACATATTCGATATAACAGTAAGCTATCCATGAATCTTAAATCTATTCACGGTTTTTTTTAGAAAAGTACAGGCCCGCCATGGATTACAGCACTATTAGCTACAGCCTTTACCATGCGCTCCAACACTGGTCTAAGCTTACCGCTGTAGTACAAGGAGTCTAAATTATAGAAATCCTTTCTGAACCCTCTCACGAGTATCCCATGACCTACACTGTGCCATTTCTGGTCAATGTGTCTTAAAAGCGCTACATCCTCTTATTTTAGTTTCTTTCTTATCAAGATTTAGCTCCGCCGCCATCTAGGAAACCAATGACGATATCGAGCGATTCGGAAGGAAAGGCTAGGGTATAAAATGTCATTTCATGTACACGCTTCCGGTAAGTCCTGCACGATATGAACTGTGTTGCTGTCTATCTATATAAACCGCTTTTGAACTAGATGTATGATACAATGAAGTTTCCTGAGCCCAGCAGATCTCGTTAATATATGCAGGTCGTGGCATCATTACATTTTTCTTCGAACTTGCAGTTGAAAAACACAAAAATACACAAGCTGATAATATGTACCTTCACCCTAAACAGACTCAGAAATAACTCATGTAGTTGACAGCAAGACTATTTGTAAACCACAGTACATTGTTCAAAATTTACCAGACCGTCAGAATTACGCAAGTATAAAACACGTCGATTACACGATTAGCTTACGAATTACGCAGAAAACAATCGATATTTAATGGTGAAAGCGTAGTCCAAAAGTAGCACAGCAAAAGTGATTGGGGAATAATGGGTATAGACCGATTTTTCCATACGGGTCTCCCTTGTGCGCACGTGGTACAACCACCATACTTGGTCTCCTAAGGCACTTCCCATCACGGTTTAACGCCAAATTATATTTATGTAGCCTTAGCACACATACATTATATCACCCCATGTGAACACATTGACCCTTTTACAGAATGTACCAGGGATGTCATTATACTAGAAAATGACATTCAGCGGCAGACACGTTCATTGCTGCCTTTAAGAAACCAGCGTACATTGAGCCAACTTTTCTGCATACAGGGCAGATACCACCCCGGTTCTCGGGCTTCTTACGACAAGTCGTGAGTCTTGCAGATGGATCTGGTGCTGCGGAAGAAGCACGCACCGGCCGCCGTACCGTCGGGACAGCAGAGTTATGAAATTACACGTGTAACTGTATTATTTATGCACCTGACAGCCTTTCACTTTGTCCTATCATTGATAGGCTATCACGCACTACCGTTGGAGATGCTCTAACGTATTGCAATAGTCTCGTATCTCATTCCGATACTTAAGCGGAAGATGTCAGCTGGTTACATTTTATATTACAGAGTTTTACGGCTGAGGCATAGCCATGAACCCTGGCTATTTTTGATAATTAGGCGTTCAGTACGATTAATTTGTGGTCAACGTCTTTCAACCGTGGGATCGTATTCTTTCGTAATTTGTTTAAGCTGTAGATCGTAGCCAAATGTCACACATTACAATGCTTAAGCCTCTATTTGTTGAATAGGCGTCAGTTTTTTTCAGAGTGAAGGAAACGGTCAGTTGGTTCGGTGATAAGACACATCAACGGGCAAGTCTTTGGTCATACTTGCATATTTTGCAGTATCGTTGAGAATGGTCTTAGGCGCTCCTAACGACGCTATCACACAATAAAGGTGATCATTTTTGCTTAGCTTTTGCCGGCGTTATATATTATAGGAAATGAGATAGCAGGAAGCGCCATGGATGGCGTTTGCAAGTGCCTCAGAAAGTGTTATTGTCATCGTGATTCGTAGCAGCATGCTTCGTTTTATCTTTAATCTTGTAAGTAGAAAACCGTTTTTTGGGATCACACGCTCATGGTGCGGTTGTAGGCAAAAATCAATTTTAACCGCGACATGCCGTGCCACGACTTTGATGACATGACATGCGAGGACATGAGTGACAGTCGTTAAAAGCACTACAGTTACTAAAACGCAATTTTATACCTCTTCTATAAAGAGACTCAGGAAGTCGCTGCAATTACTAAAACATAGTATTATGCCTTGTATAAAGTGAGATGCTGAAAACTGCTACAATTGGTTGTATACCTTTTTTTCTTAATGAGACACTAATAGATGGAAGCTGAATCGGCGAGATTTCAGACGTATGTGCTGAGAAAAGTCAATGTCGATGTCAAATAGCTCACTACAGGATTATCTTTGCTGCATGCCATCATCTCTTTGTGCCACTGCGCCCCGTGGAGTCTTCATGGACATCATGATGCCACCGCATACTCACGCTTAGGGTAAGTTATAGCTCCTAGGGAAACAGACAGTCAGTACGACCAGCCCCAATTAAGCGCAAGCGTTTTCGCTTCCGAACGGATCTCCACGGCGGACATAATCAAGAGATCGATTTGGTCTTGTGTTTTCAGCTGACGTAGTATGGGGATGCGTCATGCCTGACGAAGCTCTACTGTTAGTTTCAGAAACTCAAAGCGTAAATTGTTTGCCGCCGTACCTGTTGCATTTTCGTTGGTATTTATTCTCCTATTGTGCAGCTGCAGAATCTATATATTATCGTCGTTAAGTGGTCTCAATAGAAAGTTGTGGGAAGGGTCTCCAGCATAGATATGATAGATGGCACATCGAGGGGTTAGCACGTCTTTTAGCAGGCAATACAGGTAAGAAGGGCGCAAAAAAGTCCCAAAGGAAAAAAAACTGGACAGGCAAGTATCTGCGGAAACGGTACTTGCGTTCGATAAGAAGTTACATGAGCTAAATTCCTACCTTAAACTTGATTATATGGCGCTTCCAAGACGGTGGTGACATTCATCTACTCGATACGAGCATCGCAACAGGACGCATGCTGTGTGAACACGGTTCCTGTATTTTGACAAATATATACGTAGGTAGCCCATCACCCTGCCACTTCTGCGAAAGATGATGCTTAACGCTCATTCTCTTGATAAATTTGATGTCTGGCATGTGCCCACACGACATCTTGGTTTTTCTCGTACCTAAATACCGAATACAGTACTGCACCCCGTTTTCGAGCCCTTGGACCTTTAATAAACTTCCGGATGCGAAGATCCTGAATATAAATGAACTATAGTTTGAAAGCTAAAATCGATTTAATTCCAATTCCTTCATGGTTCCACCCCCGCGAAAACGGGGTGCAGTACTGTACACGCATTTTTTGTATTTCCAACGATTGCACGCCCTGCTTACCCCTG